CAACCTTTATAACATCCGCTATAAATCACAGTGATTCACACACTTTACTTATGGTGCCTACTGTTCCCTTGACTCAATTATCTGTCTCTACGATCTATCTATATCTCTTCAATCGCGCTGGTTTTTTCTCGCCAGGCTTATATGCTAAAAAAGAGGGCGCCTCGAACAAACCTGGGCCTCCCCGATAATTGATGATCCTACGAGAAACTCCAGCGCGCATGCTCCCATAGTCACGTGACTTCCGCTGTCGTAACAGTATTTTCCAATTTATCCTTATTTTTACTCATTAAAACACCCAAAAAAGGTAAACAACCATTTATCTCAACTTTATAATTAAATGCTACAGAGTTATCAATGTTATTAAGGTATTTAGCTAAAATTAGCTAGTTCACCTTTACCATACCGCCAAATCAAAAATGTGTCATCCACTTACCTTAACCAAACTTCAAGTGTTTATCTGCTTTTTCTAGTGCTTCACTTTCAAAACTGTCCATAAATAAATCCCACAATAATGGAGATAAAGGAGAACCCATAGCTAAACCCTCGTTCTGTTTATAAACTTTGGTATTAATTTGGAAAAATGAGTTTTCAACACATATTGTCAAATAATGAAAAAATTAAAAAAACAAATAAATATTTTTTCCAATATACAAACCGATAAATAAAGTCAGCCAAATTGTTAATGCAACTAAAGATAAAATTGATTTAATGGAAAAATTTGGCATATATAAAATAGTATGTGAATGTAAAAGGTTTATATAGGACAAAGTAGAAGAAATTTAAAATTCAGACTGAATGAACATAAAATAAATGTAAAAAATAATATTATTATTATTTCACCTTTAGCAGAACATGTTATTGAAACATTCAATTGGAAAAAATTGTTATACCAACGGAATTAGCAAAATGACCCCCCCCCAAAAAAAAAGAATAAAAATTAATTCACCAGAATAGCAATGTTTCAAATTTAAACCATTTCTCTATATGAAGAACAAAATCAAGCAACAATATTTACTAACCATATCTCATGAACTAATTTGTTTCAAAAGCAAGAAAAGCATTTTATTTAGTGATGAGACCACAAGGTTGAAACTCATGTGACTAGTTATTACCATAAATCAACAAAATCTTTAACAACATTAATATCCGTATGTAACCACTAGGGAAAGCTTGAGTGTTGGATATACAAGACTATTTAGTGTAAGTATTATTATTTAATTTATTTTGTGACTTAATATTTAATGATTGTTTAGTTTTAATGACGTCAGTGTTGTAGGTTGTTTGTTTTTAAAAGCCTTAGTTATGACAAATTTCATTATGTAACTCTGTATGAGTAGTACCTTGTGTATGCAGTTAGATTGTTGTAATTCCATAGTGTAAAATTTGTTTGTACATACGTTTTATTTCTTTTGAGAATATTTTATTTTAAAAGAAGTGGGTTGTATGCTGTCCGTTTATTGTTCGAATTTATTACCAACAAGTCACATATATCTACTGTAGAATTCAAGCCCATATACAAAACCCCGACATTGTGTCAATTTTATAATATTTACATACTCAAAATCAACTTGCTCTTAAAATATATAGTTGAGCTAAGTGATAGAAGAAATGACAAATGAACAATAAACAAAACCACAACAAATAAAAGTAGGATTCGCTATTTCACAAAATGAAAGATAGAAGGAATTATAAATTAACGGTAAACATAACTATAACAAAAAGTAGAATATGCTATCTCACAATAGTGTGGCGTGCGTTCATCTTCTGGTATTGGTAAAGAGCTAATAAAGATATTCTGACCTGGCGTAATCCAAATAATTCACTCTTTGTATTCTACTTATCTATATCACTGCAAAAACAGTCGAATTTATCCAGTGTGATAACAAGTGAAACTAGTGCAAATAGCTTAATGCGCCGTGAAAAAAGAGTACGTGAATTTTGGTCTTCTCACTTTCTGTTTGCACAGCTATGAAAGTAAGTATCTTTGTTATTTAATTGGGATTTGATACTGATAGCCACCGTCTGCTTATCTTTGAAATTAAATACGTAGTTTCTTTCTCTCGTTTTATAAACAATAATACCTGTTGTTTAATTAACACGTCTGGTGTACGAGGTTGAAACTGACTGAAAGTGAAACTTTGAAAGCAGTCACGAGTGTTCCGATACTACTACTAAAGTACTAGTTAATATCGAAAGTACTCCCATCGTATTAATTAAATAGAAAGTCAGAAAGGTACTACCAGTTACAGATAAAGCAAATAATAATAAAATAAAAAAAATTGAGAAGAGCAGATATAGTGTTAATTGTAAATGTTAGGCACTTAAGTCGTTTCCTATTTTTATATGTTAAATGTGCAGTGGCACTCTCCAACACACATAAAAATTATAATGATAAATAAAAATCCAGTGGGGAGACTGATAATTGACATTATTTTATACGTTTACTAGCTGAGTGAAGGTACCTGTTAAAGTAGCAAAAATTGTATAAAGAACAATGTCAGATATTGCTCCTTATTCTTCAGTTGTTAAATTACTGATGTTCTTTGTAGATTCTAATTGCATAACTTGCTTTGTGGAAGGTAATAAGTTATTCAGAATAACATAGCAAAAATTACGAAGTTAACAATCAGTTCACTATTCAGAAAAATTGGAATTATATTTTATTATTATTCACATTTAAGGAACCATCACAATAAAAGTAAAAATCAGAAAAGAACGATTTCTTGTCCTATTTGCAGCTTATACTTGTAAAATTCATTATGAAAAATTGCAGATATTTATGTTGAATAACAGTGAAGCAGTATTGATAATCCTTAGCTCACATATAGGACTGGAAAAATTTAGTTAAACCTTAACTGATTGAGTACTTGTGTCTATCAATGTAATGCTAAATGTCTATATAAACAGTGTAACTTTGCCCTTTTATTTTTTTTTCATCCCTATTCCTTGGCAAAAACCCTTAAACAAAATGGGCAGTGTATATTGTCAGAAAATTTGGGTGATGGATGCTAACATACACACACACACAGTGGATCATCTTTACAATAAGATTGTTATTATTAATTTATAAGTTTCATTACATCATTAACTTGATGATGGTGGCTTGTGACACAGTGACACACAGTTGATTGCAATAGCATAAAGGCAACAAGGGCCCAGTGATCCTTCCTTGAGAAAAAATAAAAACTCAAAAAATGTATTTGTTTTCAAGAAATTATCCTATCTTCCCTTACAAAAAAAATGTACAGTCATTCTTTAGAAAAAATCAAATAGCTATGAAAAGTAGTTTTTTTGGACCAATGGCTATAGTATTTTTTTAGTTACACTGTAGTAAATACGTAACAATTCTATAGAAATCTTATACTAATTTTGCAGTTAATTTATAGAGATTCTGTAAAAATTCCAAACCCTTCTTTAGATATTCTATAGAGACAGTATAGTCTTTGTGTAGTTAAACAGTATCAATTCAGTAGGAAAGCAATAGACCTTTAGTTAACTTGTATTCATTCAATTTCAATAGAGTATTAGAAATGTTATTGCCCTTCCATGGATATTATATAGAGAAGGCATAGCTTTTAGTTAATATACAACCATTCTATACAAACTTTACACCATTTTTAGTTATTCTGTAGCCTTTCTATGAAAATATTACAGCCTTTCTGTAGGTATTCAGAAACCATTGAGTAGCAAATTATAGTCTTTCTTTAGATAATTTCTAGCCATTCAGTAAATGAACTATAACTTTTCTTTAGTTCCTCTGACCACTTCTATATCTACTAAGCACCCTTCTACCTTTCTTCTCTAGTTTCAGTACTAAATTAATTATTCTATAAACAAGAAAAGGTAAGATAAAAGAACCAATTTATTTTCTTACAGGTTTATGAAATACAGTTATAACAGGTTACTTAGTTTTATTTTATAAGCTTTTTCTTCTGAATTTAATTGGGTCATCAAATTGGTGTGTGATCCATTCTGTAAAAGACCTATTTTAAATTCCAGATTTAACATCAATCAAACTTTGACTGCATTACAATATCATAAGAGCAATTTTAACTAATAATGTATATACATATAGAATTTATTTTTCTCCTTAAAAATTTTGTAACATTCCAGTTCCTTTACTCCCATTGATAATAGACTAAATGGGAGTAGAGGAAGTGGGAATAAACCTAAAAAATACAGTCATCAGGTTTTCAAATATAGAGTAAGGTTTAGATACAAAAATCACTTTGGCACAGTTTTAAAAACTAAGCAGTTTTGTATTTATACTGTTTACAATATGATGCAAAAGACTTTTAAAACATTCACAGATCAATATTTTGTATGTACATGCACATATACACTACATAAAACTATCCTAGATTGTTCTCAAGAAATATAATACTACTTTACATGTACAGTAAAGTGGCATACTAAGTTTACAGAAAATATATAAAACATTTATTTTGGTATATGATTGCATTATAGTACAGTAATTGGGAATAGATGAAATGGGAATAAACCAAAAATTTAATGTTTTCTGAAACACGTTGTTACCACAAGGTTGGTGATGCTTTACAGGGAATACTTCTATCTGTGTGTCTCTCTCTCCTGAAATCCTTATTAAGTTGGGGATAACAGAAAGTGTTCAGCCAATTTACTCCTGGTTAGTGCCCATTGTTGAGAGTTGGGGTTTTTTGCGTAAGTACGTTGTTTAGGTACTAATTACTAGTTAAGTTAATTTTTACCTTACGGTACGTTAGTTTACGTAACTTTAACGTAAAGGGTAAAAAAA